ATGGCAATGATAAGTCTATGGGTAATGCTAAATCTATGACATAGGAATAACATGGGTAATGCTAAGTTTATGGCAATGATAAGTCTATGGGTAATGCTAAGTCTATGGCATAGGGATAACATGGGTAATGGTATATCAATTGGACAATGGAATTATAAATTAAACTGCTATAATAAATAGAACTAGTTGTTGTCAAAAACTTTAAAAATTATCAAAATAATAATAGTGAGAGTATTCTAACAATAGTATTGAAAAATTTAAAATCTTTGATGCATTTCCCGAATTGTGGTTAACGCATAGCATCGCGTGTGATCCTTGTTTCTATCTATGAACATTTTAAATTCCAGATTCAAACTTATCGATGAATTCTACATTGCCTTCATATTGCAGCATCAGGTCCAGTCTGACTCACTAGTTAGTATGCACTCTATGTTTGACCATCGGTTTTGACCGCACTGTAGTTAAGGCGCCTATCGCCTTGTACTAAACCACTGTTACCGTATACACTCTATTAAGAGAATAGGAGAAATATAGGTTCAGTTTCAAGTATACGCTGGCTATCCCTTGGGTGTCGACATGGACTCCCTGCTCCCTGTCTGTAAATCCTTGGTTTCTCATAGCTTTCCCTTTATTGAGAAACCCATTAAAATACATGTTATAATAATAATACTACTACTGCATAATAGTAGCCAATAGTAATCACTTGGAGTAGACATGTGCTTATACGCATTTGTTTCTCAGCCAATAGTTTTATATACTTAAGGTCAAACACAGACTATATAACAAACAAGGACACCCTTTGTTCTCATACTCGGAATCACTAAGGACTTAGCTTTAAACCAGTGCAGACGTGTCTCATCTGGTCGGATCTATTGTCCGCCATTAATGTACTTTTAACCATTTTTATTATAAGCATTCAATAAAAGACTTCGCAGTCCCAAAGAGAGCGTAAGTTTATTTGTTCATTCGGGCCACTAGTGCCCGCTCTTTCTCTCCAAATCCTATTCCCTTCCTCCTTTTCTCTTATAACCAACATGTAACCTACCCGCCAATTACGGTTCTTGGTGCTGATGGGCTTCGGCCCGGCACCCGCTCCCAACTCCGTGCCCTGCCTCGGCACCCCTCCCGCCTCTTATGGTTTCGTGTCGCAAGACACACGGGTCGGTCACTTATGTGACCGATTCTATCCTCAAACCTCTGGACAATAGACGATAGACGATACCTGGCGCCATCCGATCAACTGGGAGTGCTCGCTTCGTGATGGTCGATACACACGCTTTGCCAACACCATCTGGCCGTCTACCGCTCGAGACGTAACGCCACGCAATCGACCGACACGAGGACCGCAGGACGAGACTCCGCACGAGGACGGATGCCGGATGGTGGACGCGCGGTCGGGTCTACGCACTCGTTGGTGGTCACACGTCGGCCGGACGCATGCAGACACACCGGACGAGTGGACAGTTGACTCCGCGGACCACACCGGATGTCGCAATATATAAAACATACATGTAAAATTAATCGACGGGGACGGGGACTGACGGAGAAGAGGGAAAAAGTGCTCCCCTTTATTTTTATGTAACAATGATTTTGTAAATAATGTATGACAATTTATAAATTATCTTTTTATATGGGTTAAAAAATAACTTATAATATATTTCATCCTTGAGCATAAATTACACTACGTGTTCTTAAAATGAGATTGCAAATAATTTATCTACATATCCTTTTGTTTCAAAAATATTTTTATATCTATAAAGATATTTACGCTGTTTTGTCAAATTATCGAATTATAATTAAATTATACTTTAATTTAAAATAAAATTTGGAAATTTATTTAATTAAAAATTATCTCAAAAATAAAATAAATTATTATTAATATTATTTCAGTTAATTATGAATTCAAAGCCGATGTCAAGCGAGCAAATTGAACGCCAGACTAAATATATTAAAAGTCTTAATCTTAAAAATATGAAAGTGATTGAACATGAGGGTAAATTAATTCGATATAAGCCTGGTCGACTTAAATGGCTGATTACAGTTAAGGATACTACTGTTCGGCCTACAGATGTATGGCTATGCGGTTATATGAAGTCAGGCAACACTTGGCTCTCAGAGATTGTGTCCCTAATAATGGCCGACGGAGTGGTCGATAGAGTGACAGATCGGCCCATATCTGAGAGGGTGCCCAACATTTTCAATTCACCCGATAATCACTTCAATTGTGATTCATTTAAGAAGTTAACTGATCCCAGAATTACTGTCAACCATTTGGAGCTCAAATATTTACCACGTTTTGAGGGAAAAGAAGGAAAGGTATAGTTGTGTGAGTGAGTGAGTGAGTGAGAGAGAGAGAGAGAGAGAGAGAGAGAGAGAGAGAGAGAGTTGTGTTATTAAGATATAAACTTTCTAAACTACAAAGAATAACATAAAATAACAATAGAGAACAGCAAAAAACCAATTCAATAGCTCTTGATATTCAATATCGTTTGAGTGTTTTTTTGAAAAAATGATATTTTTGCTAATAATGGCAGTGAAATACGATTCTTATACAAGTTTTGTGAGAAACTCTTCTCATGACTACTGATATAATAACGAGCGGACGGGTAGTGCAGTAGTGGTAAAGTAGAGGTCTATTATGTTGTGGTGTTATTTGCGATTCCGTATAAATTATTCACCACTACTAATGAAAGTAAGTCACGCGCTCTGAATATTTTGTATCTCAAAAACAGACAAACATNAGAGAGAGAGAGAGAGAGAGAGAGAGAGAAATTATAATATTTTTAAACCTATTTTGAAAAGAATAATTACAATATAATTAAATTATCAGATGATATACATTATGCGTAACCCAAAGGACGTTTGTGTCTCGTTATATCACGTCCACCACATGTGGGATAACTCGCCCATAGATTGGGATGACTTCTGCCAACTCTTTCTCGACGGACACCTAATGCAAGGCGATTGGTTGTCACACGTGACCGACTTCTGGCTCACGTACGGCACTGGGAATCACCCGAACGTACTGTTCATAGCGTACGAGGAGTTGATCGCAGACTCGGCGGCAATGATCGCCACAATCGCCCGCTTTCTCGGCAAACAGTTTACGGCCGAAACGGTGGCCAACATTACGACTCACTGTTCGCTGCAGACTATGCGCGACAATCCGATGGCTAATCAATCAGATCTGATAACCCGTTTTGGTAAACCGGGCGCACAATTCGTACGGAAGGGAACTATAGGCGACTGGAGGGCACACATGACTGACACACAGTCGGCACTGTTTGACGAGCGTTTTGGGCAACAATTGAGAGCTATTGGACTCCATGTGTGCGACGACTTGGCCTCAGCCGAGACCGTTATGCGCGCAACCGGTCGTGTAATTTCTATTTAATTATTAGAAAATTAATTAAAGTTTAAACATTAATAAATAATCAAACTATGATATTGACAGGAAAATAACGGTGTAGTACAGTTTAACACCCTTTACTATAAACCGAATTTACAATAAAGACCCATAATTATAAACTATTTGTCACATGACTCTCTGCTGTATTTTTTTGCGCCAATACTTTATTCAATTGTATTCGCATAATTCATATACTCTGTTATACTTATATTTATATTGCACTCTCCAGAGGGGACACGAAGTTGTCATTAGTGTTGCCAGGTCATTTTCCCTATTTCCTTGATATATTCATTTTATAAGTAAATTTTCTGGGAGATTCTTTGAGATGTTCTAAAGAATTTATTGATTCTTTCCTTGAGGTGGCAAAATAGTCCTATAATGTCATTAACATCTAATAATTATCAAAATAAGCAGTTTAACTTCGAAATAATGTTTAAATCTTCATTATTTTTGACAATATTTACTTAAAATTACTATACTTCTTGAGATTCTTGACAAATCAAATACTGTGAATTAAGTGAAACATTATTGCAATATTCATCTTTATAGCAGGTTTTCAAGAAAAAGTGTAAATTGAATCAATGTATTTATTATCATGCAATTCCGGGAGCTCCCCATATCAAGGTGAGACCCCCGCCAAAAGCCGGAAGTCGAACCCTCATTCTGGGAGACTCCCGGGCAATCGGGAGCTTCTGGCAACACTAATTGTATCACAAAAATTGTATATTATTTATTTATAATGTAAATTTTTACAGATATATTTATATAAAATAATATGCTCAAGATTATTGTAAACGAAACGCATTATCTATTATCAATCTCATTAATCATCTAATATTTCTATTAAATTAAAAATAAATTTAAAGTATTTTTTGTACTATAAAAATACTGATAACTTAACTCTGACATTGGTAATGATTACTTTTAATCGCTAAACTAACTAAACTGTTTTTGCTTTGATAACTCACTTTCAACATTATTGAAATTAATATTCCAGTAAATCTCAAGTCATTAATAGTAATATATTTTATTGAAAATAGATAGATCCTTAAACTGGTTATATTGTAACAATTAATATCACAATAAATTATGTAACAATAAATTATAACAATTAATATCGCAATCGTTGGTTACTATATGAGTACATGTTTAAAACAAAAACAATAATGACTTAATAATAATTTTTTGTTGAAATAATTTTTATTTAGGAGGGAAATATCTGGAATGGAAATTGCCAACCCTATTAATATTAGTATGAAAATGTGCAGAATTGTTGCCAGATGTTTAATAAATTGTCAAAATCGGCGAATGGCCAGAGAGGTTGGCGTACTGGTCAATTTTCAAATCACGCGTCTATTGCTTATAGGCACTGATAAAAGGTGATTCACATAATGAATGGTTGATCACATGAATGTAATGCTATAAGCAATAGACGCGTGATTTGAAAATTGACCAGTACGCCAACCTCTCTGGCCATTCGCCGATTTTGACAATTTGTTAAACATCTGGCAGCAATTCTGCACATTTTCATACTAATATCAATAGGGTTGGCAATTTCCACCCCAGATATTTCCCTCCTTAGACAAATATATCTATTAATCAGATATTTAGCACAAATTGTAATTTGTATTTTGAAACTAACTATTTTTGTGTCATTAAAAAATAATATTAAAAATGATTACTTTTGCATTCATACGTTAAATAAAAACTTGACACTATTAATGTTTTACCACTGTTGCAATTAACGAATCAATTAATTAACAATTGTGCTGATGATAACATGCAATGTGCCAATACTTGCATTATAGATAATTATAAATACAATGAAAATATATTTCAAAACATATCACACCAATGCCAACATTGGTACATGATGACTTTTGTTAAACTAGTGATATTGACAATGGTTGTATAATGATAATTCATTTTTAGCAATTTTGAAATAATTTAGTAAAAGTGCTGATCGTTACAAAAATTGTGTCAATAATGAAATGATAATAAATTGTCAAAAATAAAATATATTTTGAAACTTATTAAAACATTTCATTACTTGGAACTAAATCTAAATCCTAGCAATGAATGTCTCAATTTGTCGGTTAGCATCGGTTTATGCGTTTATATTTAGTGCAAAAATAGTTTAATTAATTCATTATGGGATGTGCTTTAAATTTCCCGGGATCTCCCGGCCCCCGGGAGATCCTGCATTCTGAAATAGTCTCCTTTGTAGAATTCATCGCTGAGTTCGACTCTGGAATCTAAAATATTTTATTTCAAATATTTTTCAAATTATTCGACATAGAATATTTTTTATCAAAAATTTTAAAGTAACGTAATTTATTAATATGATATATAAATTTGATGTGGATTTTAACGCTGATTAATATAATCAAATCGGTTTCAAAATTAAATATATAATTTTCGACCTATTCGATTTTAAAATGTTAAAATTTGAATAACTTAAAAATTTTTGATGTAGAAGATTGATAATTTAATATTTAAAATTGGCGTCTGATTCTACATCGAAATCATGTTTCACACCAATAAATTACGTCACTTTAAAATTTTCGATAAAAATATTTTATGTCGAATAATTCGAAAAATATTAGAAATAAAATATTTGAAATAAAATATTTTGGATTCCAGAGTCGAACTCAGTGATAAATTATACAAAGGAGACTATCTCAGAATGCAGGATCTCCCGGGACGGGATCTCTCGATGTCGGGAGCTCCCGGGGTCGGGAGATCCCGGGGAATTTAAGACACATTCAATTTATTAAAATATAAATTAAAATTATTAAACTTTGTAACCATTTCCATAAGTTATAACACTATTGATTTGGTGAATTGCGTTACTTTATCCAAAAATAATTGCTGCTTTTTATACTTTAATAATTTTAATAATGATGCTGATAATATTTAAAATAACTAGTAAATTAGAGGACTTAAATTGCCATTTTATATAAATATAATATTACTGTAAAGTAGAGTACTTTAAGTAGTACATATTTATTAAAATAAATAATAATTTCTTGGTTAAACAAATTGTTAAATAAGATTTTAAAACATTTACGCTTTTAAAACAATACTTTCAACCAATTGTGGAAACTTTGCGATACTGTTATCCCTTTTAATTCTGTTTGCAATTATAGCCAGTCTTTCGTGTAATTGTTTATTGTTTAAGAGCCGATCGATTGCCCCCAAGAGTTGCCCTGAAGTGCACTTATAGGCGTCCAGACGTACACCGAAACCGAGTTCGTCCACCCGTTGGGCGTTATTATACTGATCCAAGTTTAGGGGCAATACTATCATTGGTTTCCCGGCGGCGAACCCCTCGCACACCGTATTATTGCCACCATGGGTGATTATCATGTCCACGAGTGGCACAATCTGTTGCTGTGGTAGATATTTCTGGCCAAACATGTTGTCCGGCAGTTCATACGTGTCGTGTTTGGGTCCTTTTGATACAATGAACCGGTGCTTAGATTTAGACAAAATACTCACCAATCTTTTCATATTATGTACATCTGTGGCACCCATAGAGCCTAACGTAAAATATAACAACTTTCCCGGTCTGTCCGCCAACGGCTTTGGTATCTCAAACACAGTCTTACCGTCACCTGAGCTCATAAAATGGTCGAACCGGTAGTGTTTGGGCGGATTTGGACGCATATCCTGATAGTCCAACTCAATTGGGAACTGATATACGTTTAGATACGGCGAGTGATTACAGAAACTTCCGATTGGCAGCGGTTTACAGCCTTTGGATACATAGTATGCGTTAAACTCTTGCCAAACATTACTTATGGCCGCAATGTATGCCTCTCTGTATGCTTTCCACTCGCGTTGGTCTCCCAGTGCTGAATATCCTGTGAATTTTAATAATCGTTAAATTTCTCAGATGATCGAGATTTGGGATAGTTAGTTAGGGGATTTAATTATTAACATTAAACTTTTATTTGAACTAAGTATTATAGTTAGTTTTAATAAATAATATTAACATTTATATTAAGTTAAATCAATATCATCACAAACCTGAAGCGTGGGGGGGGGTCCGGGCGTCAGGCAAGCAATTCAAAGGATTACACACATTGACGTAAACCCAGGGCACACCCGAGCGCTCAATCGACGGCAGCGCCAAATGGTAATCAATAACAATAACGTCGGGCTCGACATCGCGTATGGTTTGTTCAATTAGAGCGTCCATTTTGAGCGCCAATGCCCTCAACTTTGGCGCAACATGTGTGCAATAGGCCAGCATTTTGTCTAAAGGCCCACGTTCAGAGAATTGACCACAGTGCAATTTTAACTCGCCATGAAAATTAGCAGGTTCTAACCCAGATTCTATTGATTTGTTTTGGCGGTCGTAAAATATTACTCTGAGGTTCGGGTGCATTAAGTCCAACAATCCGCGCCACCGGTCTGTCAATAGAAATACGACCCGATGTCCGGCAGTGAGTAGTGTCTCCGCCAGGGCTACCGCAGGATTCACGTGACCCACGGCGTCAAAATTTGCAAACAGTACAGTTAGCTTTTTATTTAGCATTTGATTGCGTGCACAAAAATCTATCGGTTATATTTATTACAATTAGTTTTAAAAATAATTTTTGTCAAAAGTATTTATGTCTTTAAATACTGTAGAGCCTCCTAATGACTTGCATTGCCATTGGTACATTCTCAATTTATATTCTATGTAGACAAGTCGGCCATCTTTCTCACCTTGAGTAGTGTTACAAAGTTTTAATATACATTGGTAATAACAAACCTAATCTTTTTATATTATAAATAAGGCTAACAAAAAAGGCAAAAAGAGGGCAGATTTACAATTATGTTCATTTTTTATAATGATAATAATGACTATGCAAACAATTTTATAGTTGTTTAGCATTATCTACATTGTATATAGTGAATGTTTTATCATTCATTGACTAATTTATTATTTTGGTGAGTCTGCATATTAAATGACTAATCAAGTGTTAGCCTTACCTTGCCTAAATTTAAAATTTTTAATGTAAAACTAGACCTTGTAGCACTCTAAAGGCCATTTGAATTGTATGTCATGTTTAAAATAGTTACCTAATTACATTGATTAATTGTTTTAATACCGTTTGTTCACATAAGAGTCATAACCGGCTTAACTTTTTCATTAGGTTCAAGCATAACTTGAGTATAGAATTCAATCATTGAATCAACCATTATAAAGTGACTAGCACAAAATATGTAAAGTTTACTAAAAAAAAAAAGTTAAGCCGGTTATGACACTTCCTGGCTCATATGATGTGTGATTCAAATAGCGTGTCCAACTCATAATTTTTGGAAACATATAGGACACATGTTTTTATTAATTATTTAATTAATTATTATATACTGTCATATTTTTAGATTCCTGTATATTTAAGTTTATTTTTTGATTGATTTTACAGAATTAAGCAAATTCTTTGTATTTTCATATAAAAAATGTATATATTTTGTATCTTTATACTTGTATTTTGAATTAATTGCAACCTCTATTAAGATAAGTTAAATTACAAACAAGGTTAACTTATCACTTAAACAAGATGATTTTTAATAATTATTTTTTGTTGAATCATTTTGATTTAGATAAATACCGCTATCTATTAATCAGATATTTAACACCAAAATAGTATTTTGCAACTAATTTTTAAGCCAAAATGTTGATCAATATACAATAAATGTGCAAATATTAACTAGGTCATTGTTAACACATATACACTTCTTGTGTATTTATACCTGTGTATTCCTACAGTACCTTCCTGTGTATTCGATCAATAACTAAAATTGAAATATTTTTTGTCAATTGAAAATTATATGTTATTTGTTTTAAAAATTAACAATAAATATATTTATTATTAATGGGTAAAATAGTTTAGCGATATGTCTAATCAGTTTACGCCAATAAAATTTTTTAATTATTTTAACATTATATTATCATGTTTAATTTAAGTGCATCTACAACACTATGGATCACAATTATTACATCAATCGAAATGTAATTAATATATGATAAATTTACAATTTATTAAATAATCAAAATAATACTATACAATTAACAGATATTAAAGACATCGGTTCACATACTGGCGCCGACACGGAGTCCGGGGCCCGAATCGGGTCGAGTTTGAGGGCCTATTCATGCAATACAACAAATACTCGATAAACTCGTACCGTAAATACAGCCGACTGTACGGCAGTTATCTGTGTTGCAACAAATGGCTTATGGTTAACGACGCTGACCTCCTGAGGGACATTATGGTGAAAGACTTTCACATATTTCCCAACAGATATGCCATGAATTTAGGCCAATCGCCGCTCCGGAAGATGTTGTTCTTCATGCGAGGCGACGACCGCTGGAAACGGATTCGAGCGATAGTGAGTCTGGCCTTTACGTCGGGAAAGTTGCGCCAAATGATGGCCAGCATTGCCGGAATCGCCGACACGTTTGTACAGAATTTAGATAAGTTTGCTGAAAATGGTTTGTATTTAATATTTATTATTGTTTTTATTATTTTTAACTACAAAAGTAAAATTTTTAAGTTTAGTCATTCAACTAATTACTTATTATTATTAAACGTAAAGATAACAGTTTTTACAAACATGCTTTTAAAATATCAGTTACATAAAAGCTATTTATAAAAATGAAATATATTTTATTAATATTGTTTTAGATTTAAAAATTTTATATAACTTGCAAAATATTGCTATATTTTAGGCCAAATCGTGGACATAAGGGAACACTTCGGGGGGTTTGCAATGGATGTGATCAGTGCCTGAAGAAAATATTGAATAAACATAAACCAATTGCAAAACAATTGTAAAAGAATTATGGTTAAAATCAAATAATTGATATACTTTAATTGTTTAAATATTATTTTATTTAAATATCCCGATAATGATAGTACTATTGGAAATAATTTTTAATAATAATATAATTTATTGAGAATAATATTCAAATAATAATTAATTATTCAAATAATTAAACAATTTATTTAATTTAAAGATCGACCGATACTTTAGCACAGAATAGATTACTAACGCGTCGTTCGTCCTGAAGATGTGTCCTCAGGTCAAAGGTGTTGGCCTCAGGCAAGAAGTCTTCCGGCAATTTGAAGGCAAACCTGAGGTGTTGTGTCACACCTGAGACGATAGGACAGGGAGTGTCGTGACAGGCGTCGGTGTCAAAGCCTGCAATGTTAGCAAGGTCGTATATGCCACCTGAATATTTGGCAAATAGTGTCCATTTTGGTGCCCATACTGTTTGAGCTGTATTTGGAGACATAATTGTATTAATTTATTATTAAGTAGATTATAAATTTCCATATAATCTAAATTACAATACAATACTTACTAAGTCTGTAGTCGATGTCAATTACAACTTCGTGTCCCCTCTGAAGAGTACAGGGTTTGGATGGTTCGCAGCCACTGATCGATAGACTCAATACATCTCCATATGTCCGCCCGAGTCCTAGAAATAAATATATTTATAATTAATTATACAAAATTAAACATTTAATAATATCTAAATAATACCACAATCAGTAAATGAAATTGGGGCTGAATTAACAACAACTGTTATAAACGCCAAACATACCAACTTGTACATTTTAATTGAATGTTTTTTAATTGTTAAATAATATTTTATGATTTTATTGACTAATAATTATAAACACAAGTTTCTCTTCTATTTATACTAAAAATATAAAGATTATTATTATCTGGAAATTATTGCCCAATAATTAGATACCTAAGAAATACAATAAATTAACAGGGCAAATTTATTATGTTTAAAGCACCTAAACATTATTTCATAATTATTGATGGATGGATAACGATTTATCATTTGTTACAAATTTAGTACATTTCTATAAATGTACCATGATTAAATATGTAGTTTATTCAGTTTATATTTATCGCACTTTTAAGTGGTATTATATTAGAAATTTATTTTATCAAGTTTTATACAAGTAATACTGTACAAGTTGTATTACAACTTAAACCCTTCCACCCCTCTATTCAATATAATATTATTACTCAAAACTTTTTGGTACATTATGCACAAATATTTTTAAAGCTTAAGATTTACTATGTAGCTATTGATTATAAGAAAGATAATCTACAGACATTAAATTACAAATGTATTGTCAGGACTTTGTATAACAAAAATTCTTACATTTATTTTTAGTAACCGATGTATGAACTTTACAATTGGTGTTCATTTGAGTTAAGCAATTGTTATGTTTCTTCATTTAATATAATCCAAATTAAAAATTGGATGGATTTCATGAGAACTTTTTTGCAATTATATTGAATACAAATCTCAATCTCTCGATTGATTTTAAGAAATTTATATTTCAGTTAAGTAGTATTGAAATACCATATGAGAAATGCTATAATAATCGTACCGTAGAATTGCATTAACAATAAAATATTACATAATATATTATATTCTAGAATATACTTGAAACAATAGTAAAACCAGAGTTGTTATCAAAATAAGCGACAACTGTTTCCCATAAAAGCGTGCCATTGGATACAACCATAAGTAACCAGAATATAGGCCATAAACAATATTTTGCCAACATATTTACCATCATGTTAAACTTAGCCCTATGGTATCAATTCAGTGGTGGATTGAATAGATCGTATTTGAGATTGTACATTAAATTAAACAGGTAACATTTGCCATAAAATTCCAAATATTGCAACATTAGAAGAATAACTAGCATGCACAATAAGCAAATACTACACATTATTGAGATGAGTCGCTCATTTACTACTGCATAATCTGCATCCGACATAAAAGCACTCATCTCTCGGGTGTTGACCATCGCTGAGACGGCAAACCTAATGCCCTCTAATAGTAAAACAATTCTGGCCATAATTAGTTGCAATTGTTTGCGTTTATTGTAAATACCATTCATATACTCATCTGATGATGAGGCCAATGTCAATGTGTTTTGATAAAACCGTTCAATCATTTGCCCGGTTTTTACAACGAGTGTATTATTTGAATCAATAAAATCGTGGTACTTTTGTACAGTTTTATCAATGATTTTAGTCATTCTTATTATTATATTTATACAGCTAAAAGAATTCGGTATTTTATTTGGATCCTGATGAATTTAGTAGAGAATAATCTAGTTTAGTATTTAATAACAATAATAATAAGAGGTATTCTAATTCGTAAGAATTAATAAATGATTAATTACTTGTTAATAATGAGTGAAAGTTAATTTAGTATAACTTTTTTGTTTAAAAATAATATTGAGTGATAATTTTATGTAATGTTTATTTTAAAATAATTATCAATTGCCATGGTGATTTTGATATAATTAAGATTTTGAAAACAATTTTAATGAGGGCAATTGATTTTAAGCTGTTGTATGATGTTTTAATGTAAAATTAGACATTAATTATAGATTATATAATATTTATATAAAATGAGCTGCATATAAAGTAATGATTTTTACATTTATCAAATAAAACATTTTGATTTTATATATTGTGTTATAGATTTATTAAGTTTTAATTAATGATAATATAACGTAACTTTAAAAATTATTCTTAAAAACTAAGGATTTTGAAATTAAATTTTAATTTTCTATAAATATCTCATTAGTCTTATGTTGTAATTATGGATAAAAATAACACCGTATATTTATTAACAAATTACCCAAATACTTTTAACCTAGTTAATCACGTGTTTATAGATGTTTATCTAGATGCTTTTTAGAAACAAATCAGGTGCCGGGTATATTTAGGTGGTGTGGCGGCGACATTGTTAATGCTATTTGGTAGTCAGTATATTGTCATGTATAGAAACCTATGTAATACATAGTTCTAATTACGCTACTTTTGAATAATTATTTAAGGTATTTTAAACGATGCGATCTTAATCTAACGACTAGCATTTGTTAAGTACATTATAATTAACAGATTTAGACGTATAATTTGTTTGGCCCACGGGTAGATTTCCCGGAAATCGGATATTTAAGTCTAATGTCCCAATTGAATAGTTAAGTAATTTAGAGCTAATTAATAAATGACGCTATTGTTAAATCCTGTTTAAAACCATTTCAAAATGTTAAATTCATTATAGGGATGAAATTTAGTTAATTTAATTTTAGGGCGCGCGGGTTAAATTTCCCGGAAATCGGGTATTTCCATAACACTCTATTACCATAGGCTTCAATACAGAATCACGTTCGTAGTTCTTTTATATTAGCTTAATCGTGGTATGTGGATCTAATATTAACTACACGGTCGTATTAACCCTCGGCGACGCGCACCGATTGTAGCGAGTGACCGGTAATGGCCTGCGGGCCTCGGGAGAATACCCGAAACACAATATATACATATAGGCGCAAATGTATTTCATTATTCTGCTATCATTAGCAGTTATACTGTCAGAGGTTAACTCGATTTGACTTATCTGATTGCCCGCAACTGGCCAACAGTTGTGGGTCGTGTCCTCTTGGGTGTCTTCTGCTTGGATTGAGCAGCCCGTTTTATACCCCCTCTCATCATGTCTTGCCGTTATCATTGGTTAATTATGGATTTATGTCTTGCGTTCAGATTCTTAATACTCGGCGCATATTCCGAGTCTACTGATGACTCATAAGTGATGACTCATTGGGTGTGGTTCATGTCTTATGACTGTAATCCAGAATCTGACTCTATATTCTAATATAGTGTTAATTCTGTGTAAAATAATATAAGATTAATGTGTATAAGCGGGACACCACTTCCCGCGTGTATTCATTTGATAGCAATTGTATAGGCGACTGATGGTGTTTCAGTCGGTTAGGCACAGGACTTAACTCCCGGCAAACGCATTATATAACACTCGTACAGTGAGAGAAAATCGTGCAAAAATAGTATAAGACATACGGCATAACATGTGAGCACATAAGGCCTAAGAATTTTAATATTACTGTATATTATAATGTTAATTATATACCAACTATTTTTTAGCTGACAATATGTTGGCCTCGTATTCGCCACGTTTGCATAAAATGCACAACAAAGTTATCACGACTTCAATGATGTATAAATTGAAGCAAAATAAAACTTACACTCTTTGAGAGTGCGAATTGTTTTATTTACTGATTAGTAAAAAGTAATACAAAAGTATATAGTGGCGGGCAATAGATCCGACCAGAGCTGAGACAATAGTCGGCACATTCATGAAGTCATAATTGATAGCCATACTAATTATGTGCTTGATAATCTAATCAATTATAATGTACATACACAATTAAAATGCACTGTACAATGATATTTATGTATATTTTAAATATATTATTTGTACAGAATATTGTAAATGTGCCATGAGCATACGTTTAAACCCCTTCACCCCTCTATCCGATGTTGGTACATTTTACTTAAAGTGCATTGTGCACAAATTATATTTAGCTAATCATATTTAAGATTTATCACATACTTAATTAATCAGTATAATTAACAATTAAAACAGAGATATAATAGAGACTAGAATATAAAAATATCAGAGCAGTCAGTATTTTGTGTAACAAATATATAGTTATATACAATAATTAATACTGTTGAATAGATTATACATGTGTTAACATGTAATAATCCCTAATAGATAATACTGTATATTATCTAATCTGCAGTATGGTAGGGGTTTTGAATTAATTAGTATTGTGCAATAATTTGCAGATAATTATAAGCCTAAGACTAGTATAAATATAGGGGAAAACAATTGTATTTATAACAAAAAAAATTAAATTATATTTCTATTATTTCAATAATACACAGTATTGAATTTGTATTTATAGCAAAATGTACAAGATCATTTGCGTAGCATTTTTGGCAGTCTTGGCTAATGCTAACCCCATACTATCCCCAATTAAATTTACTGATTGTGGTATTTATTATTATTTATTAATTAAAAATAATTTAATTAATTAACATTCTTTTAGAACTCGGGCGGACATATGGAGATGTATTGAGTCTATCGATCAGTGGCTGCGAACCATCCAAACCCTGTACTCTTCAGAGGGGACACGAAGTTGTCATTGATATTGACTACAGACTAAGTAAGTATTGTATTGTAATTTTAATTCTATGGAAATTTATAATTTACTCAATAATAAATTAATACAATTATATCTACAAAAACAGCTCAAACAGTATGGGCACCAAAATGGACACTATTTGCCAAATATTCCGGTGGCATATACGATCTTGCTAACATTGCAGGCTTTGACACCGACGCCTGTCACGACACTCCCTGTCCTATCGTCTCAGGTGTGACACAACACCTCAGGTTTGCCTTCAAATTGCCGGAAGACTTCTTGCCTGAGGCCAACACCTTTGACCTGAGGACACATCTTCAGGACGACCGACGCGTTAGTAATCTATTCTGTGCTAAAGTATCGGTCGATCTTTAAATAAAATAAATTACATTGTTTTAAAAATAAATATTAGAATATAATAATAAATTATATTATTATTAAAATTTGTAAATTTATTACCTGAATAACATTACGGTTAGTAATGCTAACCGTTAACTTGGTTTAGACATACTGTACATTATATTTATTTTGAAAAGCAGCAAATATAGTTTTAATCAGGGAAACGCAGAGCGGGCATAATTGGGCATTCGCGGGCATTGCTATAATGTATTTTCTATGGGAGCTAGCGTTGCCAGTTTATATTTTAAGCCTATTTGCGATCTCCTGGTTTTAATTAACGTGTTGATATACCCCTAACCTAACGTTATATAAAAAATATTTTATTAATTAAAATAACATATTATTATAATGGTTTTCTATGGAAAATTCGGGTCCCAATATTTTGAAAACTATCTAAAATTAATTTCTTGATTTGCAAAACATTACCACAATTGTTAAATTGCTATTAAACTAAACACAGTTGATAAACTAGCCTAACAGACGTGCATGTACATTTCATAAGTTTTTAATAATAATAATTAATAATTTAAGTTACTAAAAAACTTTAATTAAACGAAATTTTAATGAATTGTCATTTGTATTTATACTAAAAACCTTACGCCTATAATAATTTACAAATTATTACCCAATTATTTGAAATCTTGCTATAATTTGTGACAAAATAATTAGGTAATATAAAGATTTGCAATGGTTAGAAATTAAATTAATTTTATTCTTATGAAATCATATGAACTAAAAGAAATGAGACAAAATTAAGTGAAGTAATGTAGTTCTATGAGAGACTGAAAGTTGTGATAACTTGAAAAGTTCATATCCCATTTTGACAAACTATATATCAAATTGTTTGGAATATATGAACTAAAAGAAATGAGACAAAATTAAGTGAAGTAATGTAGTTCTATGAGAGACTGAAAGTTGTGATAACTTGAAAAGTTCATATCCCATTTAGACAAACTATATATCAAATTGTTTGGAATAAAGTATGACTTGAGATGTATATCAGGATTTTTCGTGTTAACAGGTTGAATAGGAGTATTGTGGCATAAAGTGATAAAATATACAAAATGGTAACTCCTTACCATTTAAAATCGACATGTTCAACTTTAACAATCAGGGTACCAAATTGTTCATAATTAAATATTAAAATATATACTTTGTAAAATTTACAATATTTTAATATTACACTATAATAATTAGGTAGGTATTTGTTCTATATCGATTAATGGATGTTATAATTAAAAAATCAAAAATCTGAAAAATTACTTTTTTTTTATCATACAAATACGAACAATTTGATACCCAGATTGTTAAAATTGAACATGTAGATTTTAAATGGTAAGGAGTTACAATTTTGTATATTTTATCACTTAATACCACAATACTCATATTTACCCTGTTTACAAGAAAAATTCTGATATACATCTCAAGGCATATTTTATTCCAAACAATTTGATATATAGTTTGTCAAAATGGGATATGAACTTTTCAAGTTATCACAACTTTCAGTCTCTCATAGAACTACATTACTTCACTTAATTTTGTCTCATTTCTTTTAGTTCATATTATAATCTCTTTTAATAATAGTGTTGATTAGATAAATAGTATAAAATCAATTATTATGTTTAAAAGCATTTAACAACTTAGCTTGTTTCTGCCTCATTTTTTTTATAAATATTGTCACATTATAAGATTTAATTCAAATACAAAAGTAGATAAAAACATGGTTATTTTAAATTTTGTTGTAAAAATTACATATTTTAATTATTAACTTATTTAATAAGTATGGCATAAAACAATTAATATGTATACAGGATACATCATATGTTACAGATTACAACATCAATATAATTATCTATGAAATTGATCCTGTGTATAAATTTTATCTAACTTTCATTCCATTTAAGCAATATTGGGTGCATTTTTACCATAAATATAATTATCATAGTTTATTGAAAAATTATTAGGCAACAATTAAACTTGATCAAATCCTGAGAACAATTGAATATAAATAATAATTTAAGGATTAGAAGAGCAATAAAAATTCTAAGAAATGCTTTATTAATCTATTTTGGTAAAAAACTAAATAAAATTCAATGTATATAAAAACCAATGTGTGCAAAGCATAAAGTATATTATTAAACTTATAAGTTTATTTAATTAAAAAACTTTGCAAAATTTAATATTTATTTGCTGAATAAAAGCACAATGTATTTAAAAGGTAAAAATTCTAAATAAATTGAAAATTACATTTTAATCGTTACCAAATAGCTAACATAGAATTATTTCTAATCAACAGTTGCAATCTTGGTATTTGTAACCCTATTCACCTACAGCTATGGCGACAATTGTCCAGCAATTCCCCGGCCATGCGTTGCCTACGAGGACCGGGAAGCGGGTGCCGGCTGTTACCTCGTATGCATTGGCGCTAATATAATAGACCTAGGGGCAACTTTCCGCGATATAAGCAGCCAACTGTCCGACAATCAAAAACACTTTACACGCGTATATATTTACGACACGAATGTAGCGGAACTGCCGGCCAACACGTTTGCCGACATACGGCTCGACGCGATTCACTTGTATCGCAACCGTAGGCTATATCGAGCGCATCGGCACGCGTTCAACGGCACCGCCGACGCCGTGACCGTACTTACTGTCGAACAGTCGCCGGTCAGCGAACGCACGGACGGCCAATACTCGCTGTTTGACGCCATACACGCGCTCACGGCGTTGACTAGCCTTAAACTACACACCACTGGCGTAACATCAGTGGCCACTAATGCCATATCGGGCCACAAACAATTGACCGGGGTCTTGTTTTCCAACTGCCCTATTACAACTATAGCTACCCAAGCGTTCAATGAGTTACCGGCGCTGAATCGGTTGGAGATTGGTTACAGTGGGAAAGCCATAGCGATCGCCAATCGGGCGTTTACCGTCGGTAATAGTACTACCGGTCAGCCGCTGGCCATAGCGTTGGACAGCGATTCGCTGACCGGCCAGTCGTTTGCCGACAAGGCGTTGGATTCAATCGGACGACAGGCTTGGCTTTGGCTGAACGGAAACGCTGTCCGCTATTTAAGTGCCGGAGCTTTTGAGGCGTTTTTCAAAGATAACGCATTGAATACAATACACAGTAATGACGGCTTTGATTGCGCCGATAGTCGTAATCAATGGATACAGTCTTACCCTAAAGTATGGAAAGATATGAATTGTTTGGGAAAATTTTAATGAAATAGAAATTTATTTTGATTTGTTTAATTCTAAATAAAATACAATAATATTATTAAAATTTTTTAATTGTGTTTTATTTAATATATTAATACTATTATAATATTGTTTTATTACAATTGTTACAATTAAGTTATAGGAGGCAAACACTTGTTCAGAACACAAGTAAATTGGTTGTAACGTTAAATTGATCAACAATTATAATGTTATTTATATATTGTAAATCAAAATGAACACTTACATGGTTCACTTAATGATCGTTAAATTGTCAGTTATAGAAATCATATTGTCTGTACCTGGTATGAAAATGGTTACATATAATTGACAAAAATGGGATATGCACAAACTGCCGGTATTTTGCACATGACTAAATTGAGACGTCAGTAAATTTTGGTAATTCGATAATGATTGTTTTGGGACATAACAATATACTTTACATACACAATATGTATTTCTTAATATTTATTAAGAATCGTAAGTATATTTCATTACATGTTGTAAAACACAATTCAATATTTCAAATGATTGATACTAAATAGAAAATAAAAATGTGTTAAACATTTAGTTATTTTTAATAATTAAAACAATACTTGAATTTAAGTGTTGTATTACTAATTAATTATAACACTAACTTAATTATTATTGAATGGAAGCATTTGTGATAAACTGCAGATTCTTTAAAATTATTGTTTACATGCTTATTAAAATTTATTTTATTTAGATTTTATAATTAATACAAATAGATTTAAAAAAAAAGTTTGCTAATACTATCATTGAACGTATTAATTTAAAATGATCCATGATTAAACATGATTACTTAAGCAGAACATTATATGCGGCACAGAATAGGTTATAATATCTGTGTTCTTCCTCGAGATGTGTGCGGAAGAGGAAGTGGTCGACGTCGTCGTCGCGCAAGAAGTCTTCGGGCACTTCAAACACGTACTTCAGGTGCTGTTTGACGCCCTTCTGGACGGGACAGGCGGTCGAGTCGCAGGCATTGCTGTCAAACCCTTTTAGACCGGACAAGTCGTAGGCCACTTCCCACTTATCGCCTGACTTGAGAGTGTATATCGCAAATAATACCCATTTTGGCGATTTGTGTGTTTCAGCTGTTAAATGAGTTAGATTAATATGTTTTTGTATACATTAATATTTCCATAGAATTAACATGATTAATTCAATACTAACTCGTTTCGTAATCGATATCAATGGTAATATTGGATCCCCTCTGGAAAGTACACATTTTGGACGGTTCACAGCCACTGATCTCCAAACTCAATACCTTTCCCGATGTCTCTCCCAGTCCTATAAATATAGAAATTAAATCAATAAAATTGTTAAAATATGAATCATTTATTTAATATAGTACCACAATTGTTGAATGTGATCGGGGTCGAATTAGCCACTGCCAACAATACAGCCAAACAAATAAACTTGTACATATTAAATGTTTTTAATTGATTTAATTTTAAAAAGTAATTAAAACTATATGATTGAATGATTTCTAATACAAATAGTCTCTCTATTTATACCTAAATTTTAAGTTTATAATTATCTATAAATCATTACCCAATCGTTGGGAAATTACTTGTAATATGTATCGACATAATTAGGCAATAATATACTGTACAGTACAGTATATTAGTTTGTATTTTTTAAAAATAAACTAGATAAATAGTTCTCAGAATATCAATAGGGTTTATACAAAAATGGTAATCTCAAACTGATATCCTGGATAAGATTAAACATTGTATACTTGTTTTCTCAAGTTGTGACATATTTTTAAGCCAACCAGTTATGATTTTTATGTATATTACAGTATGAGTAATTTATGTATTTTCATGACAAATGCAACACTTCAACCCTAACAGACATATTAATAAATATCCCTTCACACTATAATATATATAAAATAGCCGGAAAGTAGCCGGAACGCGGTTGCCATACATATTTTATACGATGCATCCACACATATAGTAACACTTGAACTAGATAAAATAGACAGTTGTTAACACATTGGGTAACTTTTAATTTGATAATTAATTAATCAATATACTTTATAGGTTATAATTACCTTTATATCCGTTTATCTAAAACTAATCGTGATTGTATTTCCAGAAAACTAATGATTTTCATATCAAGGTTGTATTAATGGAACAGTGAGTGCACAATTAATACAATAACAAATTGTACTTTAGAAAAATAAACAGGTTATTAAAAACGCCAAATCTATTTTAATACAATGTCCATGAGTGATATAAATTAGAGAAAAAGTAATTTTACTATGACGTGTTTATTATACTGTAGGCCGATTCGGCCTATAAATATCACTCATGACAATGTCCATATTGTTAAAATAAATGCAAATTGCCCATCTAGATTCTTGATGATGTACTGTATGTACATTGATGTAGCTACAAAATACGCTGTTGATGAATGACACTAACAATTATTTAGAAATACTGTGCATAAAAGGGAAAGGGTGGCCGAAAAAACCTACATTTTAATAACTAAATTGTGATTAACAATATACGGAATAATGTTTCTAATCCACAAATTGTATTTTATTATTGAATTAAATTAATTTAAGGCAAAATATCTGCTTCTCTAAGAAAAGTAAATTAAAGTAAAGTTCTAAGTAAATTAAAAAATTTATAAACACTCAATTTGTAGATTAAACTACAGTAATTTGTATTTCTACTTATATATACAGTATAGTAATTTATATAATATGTTTATATTCTGGTTATTCTCAATTATCATGTTTTAAACTATCGATATAATAATTTTATAAAAAATATTTTAAAAACATCTTGTCAATTTACAAGAAAGTATATGAATATCTTCTAGCTGCATTGAATTAAGTTGTTATCCCATAGAAACTCATGTTAAACCTATTAGTTTCCCCACGTTAAAGTTAGAGTTTATTAGTCTCATAGACTTAACATTGTCCATAAGATTAGCATTAGTTTCATAAAATTGTAAATATTTTTTAAACACAATAGGCCTAGTATTACATCACAAACAGATCTCTTCCAAAGCCTACCCAACCCAGCAGTACATCAATTGTGTATAATTAATATCTTAACAATATATTGATAATTCAAAATAACACGATTATCATAAAGTAATGATTTATAACTATCACAATATTATACATACAATTTCAAGGTTTAGCTATTATTAAACGATTAAATGAAACAACGAGTTATTTTTAACAACAACGCTATCATTTACTTAAACAAAAAATTTTCCTAAAATTCCTATTCATTTAACATTAAAACTATGGCTTTCTATCGCTGTCTCATCTCTTCTCTGCTTTTGTTTCAGACAATTTTGGCACAAAGTATGCATACATTTAACTCAAACTTTAATTATGGTTAATATTAAAGTAAATTAACAGAGATTTTATTTGTTAATTACATCCGGTAAACAGCGGCCAACAATTACCAACAAATCCAACTCCCGGTGCAAAGTATTAACATCCGAATCAATGATACGACCGGCCATTTGCCCCACAAATGCCCCGTTTGTGTCGACCGGCGACTACTCCAGCACTATATGGCCAGAGGCTGTACACCCGTTATTAAAGGTGGCTGCGAGTGCCCCGACCGGTACGAGTGCCCGTCCGGTGCCTTCGTCTCGGCCCCCATTATTCGTATAGCTGATGGTTTGTTTAGAAAATTTGATCATGATCAATGTAAATTTAAAATTATTTATTTGCTGGACTTGACGTATAGACTGCCTCTGGAAGGACCAGTCGTACCGCTCGGGCGACACTTTCATTGATGAGGAGGCCTGTCGTGTGTGTCAGTGCGGAACCGACAGCCAGAACGTGGACTGTAAGCCACTCGTCGACTGTCCCGATGTGTCCACACTTATGAATATCACTCAATGCTTTCGGTATAACAAGTGTTGTCCGAAACTCAACTGTTTTGCAAACATCTTATGGAAAAGCAATACAAAAGTTTGCAAATATAAGGGACGAGAGTATCGGTTGGGCGACCGGATTGAGACCGACGACCGGTGCCTGTCGTGTGTGTGCGACGAGCGTTGGGACGACGACCGACATGTCAGCACTTGTCGGCCCATTGAATGTGATTTGCGGACAAATAAACAGATAAGACAGGGCTGTACTCCGGTATATGACCGGAACCAGTGCTGTCCCGTAGACTATACTTGTCGTAAGTATTGATTGATAGTAAATATATTTGATTTTAATCCTGTGTTATGATTGTCAGCAAACCGGAATCGTCACAGAATCCGGGGCCTAGAGTCGGGTTCCCTGATGTGTGAGTTTGAAGGCCGTAAATACCCGCTCCGATCGCACCTGTATTCTGGCAATAAGTGTCACAAGTGCTTGTGTCAAATACCCCCGCAATTCACGTGCACTCAATCAAGTGATTGCCATTGAATTCATATAATAACAATGTAATGAAACTATTTTTTAATTACTAAAATATTGTACTTTTAAATAGTTTTATTATTTTTAATAATTTTAATAATCATTAAAGGATTATAAGATTAATTGCTTAACATTTGTGTGATTTGAATTTTAAATAATTAGTATTTATTTTCGATTGACTTTATTATAAAATATTTAACATAATTTATAACTCATCTCATGTTTGACACAAACATGTTATTTAAAAATGCAATGAAATGTATTTTTACAAATATTTTACTGATGATAAATATTTCATTCATACGACTGTACACTATACACTATACAGCAATGTAAAGTATATTAGCAATGGTTAATGTACTAAAATTTTATTCATAAACTCAATTTACAAAGAAATCATTGAGATGAAAAGTTGCACATAACTTAATAACAGGGTTTACAGCGCGCGCCCACACAGACCGGTGCGTTAGTCATCACCATATAGTGTACGGCATATAATGTACAGTAAACTGCAATTTCAATTGAAATGTTAATTTTCATTGAAATCACATCTTAAATACACTACACATCAAATTCATTCAAACAAAAATAATATACAAGTATTACTGCATATTGTTTTAAGCAATATTAATTACATGTTGATATGTTCAAGGTCCTTTTTCGCATCACATCACTTATTTTCGCATAATATTTGTTTTTCATTACCTCGTTATCACATATACTGTTTGGCTGTCATTTGATCCGTACATCAAATAATTGTCTTATTTTGTCAGACATTAATTTACTTGTATTAAAAGCTTGTGGTAAAAGCGCATTGATTATTGTGAGCAAAATAATGGCCAAAAACTTATCATTATTGCTATTTTACATCAATATAATTGTTATCATCTCTTCTATATCGTTGTCTTCATCACAATCTCAAGGTTTGCACAGACTTTTAAAATAATTGTTATTAAATTCATAAAATATTTTTTTAAAATGAAGTCATAATTATATTTATAATTATGATTTTAAATTGTAATTTCTATATGGTAAATATATCATCATTTTAATTTATTATGCAATTGAAATGTTTATCGATATAAAAACTATATTAACTTATAACTAACTATTACAAAAAATAATTATTAAGATTATGCAAATAATCAAATGTAATAACTAACTTTCGTTCAGTATTTGTAAAATGAATGATAAATAAATCAATTAAATACAGGAAATCACAAAATCATTAATATTATACAATAATATGCAAAACAGCATTTATTATAAAGAATAATAATTAGAAATACTACTTAAATTATAATAGAATTTATTAAAAATTATAAACATAATTAAAATAATTGTTACATTAATTACTTAATAAATGTTTGAAACTTTAGGACTATTGCGAAAGAGGGATGAATTAAATCAACAGATTGTGGCAAAAGTCGAGAGAATTAATCTCAAAGACTTCGGTATCGATCGGCAAACGAAACGCGAGATCGAGAGACAGTCACCGGCTGTTCAACGGGAAGGGGAGCCCAAGTGGTGGCCAAACCGCGAACCGGTGGACAACACCGGCCGCCGGCCATTGCCGTATCCGAGAGCCAATCCAAGCTCATCGTCGGCCACCAGTGACCGCTACTTTAGAGGCCAACGGGTGGCCAGTCGTAGGGATCGGGCGTTTGTCACCTACGAGGGCGATGAGTATCCGCCGCCCACTCCGGACATACCGTCGCCCATAGACTGGTCGGCCAGTCCTCAACGCGTTGGCCTTCAAGTGGAGCCCCGGGTGGCCGCCAGACGTGCCTTCAACTTCTCACAACAGCCGACCCCCACTTCCCGACCAAATCAGTCCAAACCCACCGCCAATTGTACGCAGAAATGTGTGGACAATAAATATCTTAAGCATTACTACGAGAGACAATGCGAACCCCTTATGGACTACCAGTGCCGCTGTCCCATAGCTTTCCAGTGCCCCGATATTACTCCAAACACAACCGGTATCTAATTATTAATACCATGTTTTTTATTAAAAATATAAGGATTAAAAGTTTAACTTATATTTTATTATGTATTTATGAATAGTGTGTCAATTTGGTGGCCGAGTATTTCCTGTGGGATCGCGAATACCGGTGCAGAATCCGTGCCGTATCTGCGAGTGCCGTGACTTTGGCCGCACTCGGGGTCAAGTGATGGCCGAAATAGACTGCGGAGTGGGTATCGAGTGTCCGGAGGAGGCGTTTGGCCTCAAACCGGAGCCCAACTGTTATTTTGCGTATGAGAGGGACCGGTGTTGTGGGCGTCAGGTCTGCGCCAACACTACCCGGACCCAAAACCAACCCAAACGGGACGACAAGGTGTGCACATATGGGGGCCGACAGTACAGACGGGGAGAGAGGATATATCCGGATGAGGATAACTGCAAGATATGCCACTGCGATGAGCACTGGGACGACTCCCACCCCCTCAACACCCTGTCCTGTCATCGACATCAATGTGAATTACAGTTGAACAGGGATTTCGCCCAAGGTTGTTTACCCATCTACCACGAGGGGAGCTGTTGTCCCATTGAGTACAAGTGCCGTAAGTATTAGCCCTAACCTTATTGAGCATTGGCCTAATCATTGATGTTTTAGCCCAAACCAGTGAAAAACGCAGTGTTTTGTCCATATATTCGGGACACGATTTGAAACAGTGTTGGTTTGATGGCCGCAACTATACGGTCGGCCAACGACTGGTCACTGGAAACCCGTGCGTCTCGTGTGAGTGCAAAGCGCCGCCCGATTTCACGTGCGTTCAGAAGTCATGTCCGACTCCTAAACACAACTGTTATGTCGGGAAATGGGATAACAGTGTCTGTTGTCAACACTACACGTGTTCGCCAACACTAGACTATGTTAGAGACGAATCACAATTCAAACCTAATTTCTATTCATCTCAATAGAGAGCGAGAGATAAAGGAGAGAGAGAGAGAGATGCTTTGATTTACATGGTGAATTTTTAAAATCTATATTGTCATTAATTAAATCACCATTATGTTTTAAATATAAAATTAATTGTGAAGTTATAATTGTTATATAATAAGTTTCATTTTAACATAAATAAAATTTTGAATTATTAATATATTATTTAGAATTAAATTTTTCTTAATTTGTTTAATAATTCAAAACTTAAATTTGTTTTTTGAGTTTATATTTCTTGTGTATAATAAAAATTTAATGAAATATGATTATTAAACTTTTGATTTAGTAACATGTAATGATACACTGTATATGCAATACTTTTAAACTAATCAATATTACTGTCTTGTAATTGAAATTAATTGCAGATATTTATATTTAATTAATACCTAAATAAATACTTACTTTATATTTACTTAATAATAGTTTACTAAATTTAGAAAACATTAAGTAATTTTTAAGCAAAATGTATTCATTCAATAATATTATAGTTTTGGGACTAATTATACGTAAGAAATGTTTGAAATAATTGAATGAATGTTTGCATTAAAATGTGTATCAATTGTAGCGTTAAGTGTATGTATTGTTGGCTGTAATGGAAGTCACGCTTCGATTCATTTCTACCCCAATATAACTGCTATCGGGTGTGGAGTCGGGAGGAGAGCGAGTCTTATGGACAACAAGTGCTT